TATGGGTTCCCTTGTTTTTTGCAGCATTTCGGGTGGGTCTGTGTATGTTCTTCAGATAGCTTTCTTGTAGAGTCCCATGGTTTTTGCAGCATGGACGGTGGGTTCCCTGTGGGTTCCCTAGTTTTTGCAGCATGTTTAATTGGGTTCCCATGGTTCTTAACAATATCGACGGTGGATTCTCTGTGGGTTCCCTTGTTTTTTGCAACACTTCAGGTGGGCAACATATGGGTTCCCTTGTTTTTTGCAGCATTTCGGGTGGTCTGTGTATGTTCTTCACTTAGCTGTCTTGTAGATTCCCATGGTTTTTGCAGCATGGACGGTGGGTTCCCTGTGGGTTCCCTAGTTTTTGCAGCATTCTTAAGTGGGCTCCCATGGTTTTTCACCGTCGATACGGTGGGTTCTCTGTTTGGTTCCCGGGTTTTTGCAGCATTTGAAGTGGGTTCCCATGGTTTCCAATAGGCTCTTTTGGCTTTTGCAGCATGTCAGCTGGGTTCCCTGTGGGTTTCCTAGTTTTTTGCAGCAGTTTTAATGGGTTCCCATGGTTTAACAGCATCGACGGTGGGTTCCCTGTGGGTTCCTTGCTTTTTGCAGCATTGCAAGTGGGTTCCCATGGTTTTCCCAGCATATATTGCGCAAAGGTCTGGGCGGGCTCCCTTGGCTCTTGCAGTGTGTCAGCTCGGTTCCCTGTGGGGTACATGTGGGTTCCCATGGTTTCTCCAGCTCGCGCATTATGTTTCAGAGAAGAGTGGAACTGAAGAAGATGTTCAGGACAGTGGCTGCAGGTGTGGCCCAGTTCCATCGCACATCTTGCGCTGCATTTGGATTTGCTGCTTTGAAGTAAGGCTGCAAAAAGCACGTCTGCTATCTGCAGTTTGGGTCGAGACCAAAGACGTTAAACAGGCTCACCTCTGATGCACATGAGGCTCGCCGCCCTCCTGTGGTAATGCTCTTGATAAGTTTGCTGGGCTAAATGCTGGCACGCTGATGCGAGGATTTTGCGGCATCTACTGGCAGATGTTAATCTCAGCTTGTAGCTTCAACTGTTTCGATTGCTTGCTGCACGTGGGCTGTTTTTGCGCTGGGAAGCTCCACTTGCAGGAGCTCTTTTTTCCTACAGAATCGTAGGAAGCCTCGAAGGGCCTCCCCTGTGCGGGAAAGATCTTGTACGAACAAGAGCAGAAGCACTTGTCTTGAAACGGCAGCCGATGGCAAGTTTGGCAAATTTTCCAAAAGTATCTCACATTTCACAGCATGTTGGCTTTCTTGGACGTTGATCCAAACAGCATGCGGAAGGAATTTTGTTTTTCCGTGCAGTTTTCCAGCTGAAACGGGTTCCAAAAAGCAGCTCTAGTCCGGGCACCGAAACGGGGCTCCCGATTTTGGCTTTCTTCGTTGGACATACAAGCTCACGCAATTCGGGGCCCCAGATTAGAGCTCAGATTTGGGAGCCATTTCTGGGGCCCAGTTATGCCGTTTTTTCGTCGAGCAGATGCCACATCTGCGTGCACAGCTGGCCGTTGCGTGCAACAGTATATAAACCTCGCCAGCTCTGTTTTGCATTTTGCCGGTGTTCCTTCAAAACTCAAAATAACAAGTGGAACGCTCGCAAACATGTGAACCTTGCAAACAGAACTTTCTCACACAGAGGAGGCCCTTCCAAGCATCCTAGAGAACAGCTTCCGGAATTGGCTCCGTAATTCGAGCGTTCTTTTGGCCCATGTGTTGCAACGATGTCCGACGTGGAAGCACCTCCTGTTCCTCCCCCTCAAAGAGTGGAGTTGCCGCAGGAGTGTAGAACGTCCTTCGTAAATAAATGGTCCTTCCTCGTCTGCCTGTTGCTAGGAGACTTTGTCCGCCCGTCTGGCCCGCCTGCGACAGGAGCGTCAGGATGCAAAGGTGTGGTATTGTCTGCGTGTCTACAAGATGTCTTGATTGTCTTTCGTCCAAAGCAGGTAGAAGCGCGCAGAGTCGCTAAGATCCTGAAAGCAGAGCAAAAACGACTTCGCAAGGCATGGTTCTGTCTGCTGCCCCGTCGAATGTAGATGTTTGAACTTGCCCAGGCCAAAACAGTAGCACGGCAGCTTTCTGAATCGCAGTAATTAACCCTTGTCGTTTCTCACACGATGGCGCGAATGTTTTAACGCGCATTGAGCCCGGCACTGAGAGTGATCAGCGGTCAGTGAGCTTCGCTGTCGCCTCTCTGGTGTTGAACTGTTGCCCCAGCAGCGAGTATCTGTTGAGCAGTGACTAAGCTCTGCCAGCTTTTAGTACGTGAGTCAGTGAGTGTGAATGAGTGAGCTTTGCTGCGACGAACGGCTGCCTGCAGCGCGTAAATTCTTCTTCGGTGTCGGGTGAGCAGTGACCAAGCTTCGCTCTTTCTTTTCCAAGGGAATGAATGTTTACGGCTTTGAGCCCGGCGCTGAGAGTGGTCAGCGGTGCGAGCCCTGCCGAAGCAGTGGGTGAGAGAGCTTGGCTGTGACCCGAACTGTTGCGTGGCAGCTAGTAACTTCTTCGTCTTCGGTTGAGCGTGAGCGGTTCAGCAGTGTGCAAGCCTTGTCTGAGGCAGGGCACGAATGTTTTACGGGCTTTGAGCCCGGCACTAAAAGCGATGACTCTGCGGAGTGGGGTTTGCCATCTGGCAATGAGGTCTGCCATCTGAGCCAGTGAATGTATGAGCATTGCCCAAACTGTTGCCTGAGCAGCTGGTAAACTTTCCGGCTAGTCAGTGACGAAGCCTTGCTTTGACGTAATCCCAGCCTTCTTTTTCTGAAGGCCACAAAACGTGGTTGCGTTGCGGTGTAGGGTTTAGGATGAGTAAGTGAGCCTTGCTGTAGTCCATGTGGGCAGCCAAAACTCTTTGTTGACATCTAGCAGGTTTTTCCGAATGCACGAATGTGAGCCCGTCATATCATGCTCATTCGCTTCTGAAATGTTGAGCCTGTTGCAAGGTCGAAGCTGAGCGCCGTAGTCTTTTACGTAGAGCAACGCGCAGCATGAAATCTGGATCCGAAATTGTCCGCTTGCAGAAAGCTAGGACAGGCAGACTCTACTGATCCGCCGCAGTTTGATTCGAGATTGTATGCTGCAGGGTGTGAGGATACAGACGAGGGAACCTGAACGAGCCCAGAGGTGGCGGGCAAATGATTTCACCCTTAGGACAAAGCCGGTGGTATAATACTCAGCTGCCAACTGAGTTTGATTGACTCCGGCATGTCTGGGACCTTCCACCGTTCTAATAGTGTTATACTACCCAAAGGGTGTGTAAGTGGGTTCCCTTGGTTTTTGCAGCAGATGGGGTGGGTTCCCTGTGGGTTCCCTTGTTTTTTGCAGCACTTCAGGTGGGCTACATATGGGTTCCCTTGTTTTTTGCAGCATTTCGGGTGGGTCTGTGTATGTTCTTCAGATAGCTTTCTTGTAGAGTCCCATGGTTTTTGCAGCATGGACGGTGGGTTCCCTGTGGGTTCCCTAGTTTTTGCAGCATTTTTAATTGGGTTCCCATGGTTCTTAACAATATCGACGGTGGATTCTCTGTGGGTTCCCTTGTTTTTTGCAACACTTCAGGTGGGCAACATATGGGTTCCCTTGTTTTTTGCAGCATTTCGGGTGGTCTGTGTATGTTCTTCACTTAGCTGTCTTGTAGATTCCCATGGTTTTTGCAGCATGGACGGTGGGTTCCCTGTGGGTTCCCTAGTTTTTGCAGCATTCTTAAGTGGGCTCCCATGGTTTTTCACCGTCGATACGGTGGGTTCTCTGTTTGGTTCCCGGGTTTTTGCAGCATTTGAAGTGGGTTCCCATGGTTTCCAATAGGCTCTTTTGGCTTTTGCAGCATGTCAGCTGGGTTCCCTGTGGGTTTCCTAGTTTTTTGCAGCATTTTTAATGGGTTCCCATGGTTTAACAGCATCGACGGTGGGTTCCCTGTGGGTTCCTTGCTTTTTGCAGCATTGCAAGTGGGTTCCCATGGTTTTCCCAGCATATATTGCGCAAAGGTCTGGGCGGGCTCCCTTGGCTCTTGCAGTGTGTCAGCTCGGTTCCCTGTGGGGTACATGTGGGTTCCCATGGTTTCTCCAGCTCGCGCATTATGTTTCAGAGAAGAGTGGAACTGAAGAAGATGTTCAGGACAGTGGCTGCAGGTGTGGCCCAGTTCCATCGCACATCTTGCGCTGCATTTGGATTTGCTGCTTTGAAGTAAGGCTGCAAAAAGCACGTCTGCTATCTGCAGTTTGGGTCGAGACCAAAGACGTTAAACAGGCTCACCTCTGATGCACATGAGGCTCGCCGCCCTCCTGTGGTAATGCTCTTGATAAGTTTGCTGGGGCTAAATGCTGGCACGCTGATGCGAGGATTTTGCGGCATCTACTGGCAGATGTTAATCTCAGCTTGTAGCTTCAACTGTTTCGATTGCTTGCTGCACGTGGGCTGTTTTTGCGCTGGGAAGCTCCACTTGCAGGAGCTCTTTTTTCCTACAGAATCGTAGGAAGCCTCGAAGGGCCTCCCCTGTAGGCCGTGGTAAGGCGGACGTGCCTGGAGGTCATTGCATGGGCTTCCATCAGTTGTGGTCGGCTCTGGGCCTCTTGGTTCCAACGATCACCGGTGATCCCCAGGTGGCGGCGCAGGCACTATCAGATGTTCTCTCAGCAAGGATGGCGCGGCTGAACAGGCCCTCCAGTTATTGTCTCAGCAGGATACGGCATCAGGGCCAGTTCACTTCTTGACCGTGTGGCTCGCCTCGAGTCCTTGGTGTCGCAGCTGCCGGCGATCTTGAGCTCAGATCCCCATAGCCTCCGCTCCGACTGACAGGTTGTGTTTACCGGGCATCAAGGCGATTTTGGCAAACTGCTATGGAAAGATGCACCGGTTCTCTTTGAACCGTTTGCCTGGGCTGCTGTGTTTGCCTGCGGATCAGCCTGTCGCTCTGACCTTTCTGCTAGGCTCAGGTTTTGGGGGAAGGTCTGCTTGTTTAGGGTCTCTCTGTATGATCATGGCCAGTCGCTGGCTGCCGGATGGAACGCCTCGCAAGCCGTCTTTTCCCCGGCTCTGGCTCCATTGCTGCTACCTGGGTGCCATTGCGCGCCTTTGGCCTCGGAGCCCCCGGCTTCTGCACCGTCATTGGCGCCGAGGTTTCGTCCTCCGAGCTCTGTGGACTTGTCCGAGGTCTCCAAGGCTGGCTTTGCTCCTCTCCGCAGTGCAAGGGTGCTCCCAAACATGAAGGATTTTCTTCCCGCTCCGGCTCATCCTTACAAGCCGGCTGCTCCGGGCACTATGTTGTCGGCTTGGCAGAATGCCAAAAACGAGCAGCTTAAGGTCTGGCTGGCACTGGCAGCCACAGCTGCTGCTGCCTCTGCAATGGTGTCAGAGCTCTTGCAGAGTCCAAATTCTTCGGTACTTCTGGTGCGCCTGGTTCAGGGGAATGCTCCGTCGACTCTCACCAACTACTTCGGACGTTGGAAGCATTGGGTCGAGTTTTGCCAGGTCCAATCGGCAGATGAATGGGCACCCAAGGTTGCCTTCCTCTGCGATTTCCTGATCACGCACTGCAAAGGTCTTCTGGGATCGGCTATCGCGTGGCTCAAGGCCTTCAGGTTCATCACTACGCGGCTGGAGGTCCAGTCATTCAAGTTGGCGCTACAGTCTGAGGCAGTGCGGGCTTTTGGCAAATCCGTGAATGTGGTTCAGCGCAGGGAGACAGCACCTTTCCCGCTTTCCTTCGTCATTTGGTTGGAAAGGCAAGTGCTGGATGCGGCCCAATCCGCGGCACATCGAATTCGGTGTGGCTTCCTACTGGTTTGCGTGTTTGCCAGCCTTGTCGGATGCTCAGTGGTCTCCGCCTTCCTTTCTTCACTTGGATCGGCAGGCGCTTCTTGGATGTGCTACAAGGACGAAAACTACTTCTCGATCCATGCCGTGGGGAGCCTGGGCTCCCGGGTTTCTCGCTAGGCCTCAAACGGTCCCCGGCTGGGGCCAGGTCTGGCTGTGTCTGGTCCAGGAAGCGGTGACCCGTACTTCGGCCGCTCGTCCTGGGTTTCAGCCCGATTTTCTGGTAGCCGACTTGGGTCCGGATGCTCGTGCTCCTGTCTTCTTGGCTCCTTTGAGTCGTGCTGCGGGGGTGGTCCTGATCCGCAGACTTTTGGCGATGTGCTATGAGAGCTACCCGGCGGACCAACGGCCGGACTTGTCACTCATTGGCGTGCACAGTGCCAAAGTCACGTTCTTATCCTTGGCTAAGCAGCTCTTGTTGGACGAAGCCTTGCGCGAGAGCAAGGACACCACCGCCCGCCGCCGGGGCACGCCATGACCCGGTTATACGGCAGAGATGATGTTTCAGGTCCCCTGGCACTGCAGTCTTCTATCGTCCAGGCAGTGGCGAATAGATTCCGACCGCTGAGGCCAGCTCTCCGAGGTGGCGCGCCGCCACTCCCTGACATCACAGTTGCTGTGCCTGCTTTGGAGCCGGCCGCCTCGGACTCTCGAGCCTCGAGCTCTGATTCCGAAGATGATGCTCCGGCGGCTCCTGAGGTCGAGTCCACATCAGCGGCCCCGGCCGCAGCTTGGGAACTGGTGTCGTCCGGTGACCTGGCGTCTTCACCGCAGGATCTTGATGAGCCTGAAGATTTCGAATTTTTATTTAATCCAATATGACGTCAATTGTGCATCTTGCCAAGCCTTGCCGGGCAGACCATCCAGCTTGTCAGTTCCGCCCAGCTCCGGACGCAGTTGGGGATGCTCCTCTTCGCCCAGGTTGCTCCATAAGAGGCAATCTGGCAATTGGAGCCTTAGTTCGGACATCTGAGATCCCGAAGGGTGCACGTTTGTGCTTGAAGCACGGGTGTGGGAAGGATCCCGCACTTGCATCCTTGCTGGACTCATAGGTCTCTTTCGGGCGTGGTTGCGGGGCTTCGTTGCATGCCTGGGGGTGCACGCTTGCACCACGGGCCTTGTGCACGGTCGGAGCCGCTTTTGCATCTGCCTCGCCGGACTCGCTTCCCGGCGCCTTTTGATCTGCCGATGTTAGTGCATTTGGTACTGCGCGGCTCTCTGCTTCGTGCTAGACGAGCTCGGCCAACCGGCCGTGGTCTTCTACGATTCTACGTAACCTCAGGTTGCAAAAGCTGGGATTGCCGCTTGGTGCTGTCTGTTCTTCTGCACTTCTTGGCATTTGGCAATCGCTAGCGTTTGGCTGCTAGGAACTTAAGGAAAGCCATGGCAGGATCCGCCGTCATGCTCGACGATCCCGCCGCTTTCACGGGCCTTCTCACTAGATGGGCGGTCCCGGATGCAGTCAAGGACAAGCTTCATGATGCAGGCTACAACACCATGGCCCTTCTGGCACATGCGCTTCCGTCTTTGGATGACCTCGAGGCCTTTGTTGAGTCTTTGCTAGGCAGAGCAGTGGGTGCGGACCCGACGGTCCCCATTTTCTCTCCGGAGGCGGCTGCCCTTCGTCGTGTGCTTAAAGAATGCATCAACCTGGCAGGGCCGGCCGGTGCTTCGTCCCCGGCTGCACCGACCCCGGCAGCTGTGAGACCTAAACTGCAAGCTGCGGATGTCCAATCGCTTGTGGTGGAGTTCTCGCGCAAATATCCTTCGGAACTCCTTCGCCCGGAGGTCATGCCAAGTCTGCCTTTCCTGAATGCGGTCAAGGATGCGGTCGACTCTAAGCAGCTCTCCTGGATTTCATGGCGACTTCGAACGAGTGAGTCAGATGAACAGGCTCTCACCGAGCGTCGCAAACCGCGCACGGACTCGCAGATGCTACAGTCACTGCTCGGTCCGGTCTCGGATGAACTTGTGGTGGATGTCCCGCAGCACCTCCCCCTTGAATCGGTGATTCGTCGCTACCCTGACCGCATGTCTTATGCCCTTGCGGTTCTGGATGCGTGCCACTTGTTGACTCTGAAGAAACTCTCGGAGAAATTTGTGAGCCTGGCGACGGCGACCCCGATTGACCGTTCCCTGCGAGGACCCACGCTGGCAGAGGCTATGGATGCCGATCGAGTGCTTTGGAGTGCCATCTGCTCCTTGCAGAAGGAATACGGGTGGTCTTTGCAGGATTGTGTCTCTGAACTGACACATGTACGATCGGACCTTCACAACGCTTTGGCTCCGCGGCCGAAGGTGCACCAGGGTGGAGGTGAGCCTCGCGGCAAACGCCAGCGCACTGAACCGCCGCCCGCTCCGCATCCAAATCCTCGAGCCAAAGCCAAGAGCAAGGCCAAGCCACGCAAGAGTGGGGATGCGGGTCCCTCCAAAGATCGCGTCTCCATCAGCAACTGGCCGAGCAATTGGGCTCGCCAGATCGGCGGGGTCGGTGCGTGTATCCGCTATCACACGGATAATAAGTGCAGAAACAAATCTTGCCGTTTCAGTCACAAGTGCCCGATCCTTGGAGCTGATGGGAAGCCATGTGGGGCTGCTCACCCTGCATCCGCGCATAATGCTGCCCCCCATTGACAGGCAGCGGTGGAGGATGGCATGGACCTTGATCCCCCGCCTGATTTTGCCCCTGTGGTCTCTGGGACCTCTCAGTCTGATGCTGAGTCCTTTGCAGATTCAATTTTGTCCGGATCAGTGGCCTTATCGTGTACAAGCGTTGAGAGGCTCGCTGACCTTTTGCTGCAAGAAGCACCTGACCTTGACGATCGGTTCTCTAGTGGGGCTTCTGTCTCGGCTGGTCTTTACCATCGGATCAAGGTTGGCCTGCGCAAGGTATGCGGGTCACACCCTGCATCGGTGCGAGTTCTGAATTCGCTCATTTCTTCAATATCACCGGGGTTTTTCCATTCATCTTTTGTCTTGATCGACGGCATTGCTTCAGAGGCGCACTGTGATACAGCCAACTCGGACCTGCCCAATGTGGTCATTCCCATCTCTTGTTTCTCCGGTGGTGAGTTGCGGGTTGCGCACCCCTCCGGGGCTGATGTGATGATACATGATGGCGTCAAGCACCCGGCTGTCTCTCTGCCTGTGTGTCGCGGCCCGGTGATCTTCACTGCATCGTCTTGCCTTCATGAAGTCCTGCCCTTTGAAGGCCGCCGTCTGGTTCTAGTGGGTTATACACTTCGAGCTTGTGAGTCGCTTGCTGCCGATTCTTCCGCCCGCCTTTCCTCCCTAGGGTTTAGGCCTCCTTCCCCTTCGGTTGTGAAAGGTGCTTTGCCCATTGCCCCTCGTGCTCTTGCACTCACTGAGGAGCAGCGGGAATTGCTCCCACGGCCAAATTCTGTCAGTGCGGTCGGTTCTGGCCACCAACTCCGGACAGGGATTTGCCCTGACTTGCCCCAATTGCCCGATTCCGACTTTATCTGCGACTGCAATTCGGGGCGTTTCTTTCTGGATATCTGCTCCGGGGCCGGGGCTCCTGTCAGCGCGGCCATGCAAACCTTGGGCAAGGACTGCTTCCAACCAGTGGACATCATTCATTGCCAGGATTTCGACCTTCTGGATGATGAATTTTTCGCTCAACTCCTGGCGCTCTGCTCCAGCGGCGTGGTGGGAGCGGCCATAGCGTCTCCGCCCTGCGGGGAATTCAGCCTTCTCAAACTTCGACCGGGCGGACCACCCCCGTGCCGCACACCGGAGGAGCCGCTCGGGTGTATTTCCAACGATTGGCATCAATCTATGGTGGCTCAGAACAGTGCTCTACTTCATGATCGATGTCGGGAGCTTCTCTCCAGTGTCGCGGCTCTGGGAGGCTGCATTGTTTTTGAACAGCCGCCATCTTCCATGACTTTTTTGACAGAGACAATGCAACAGTGGATTTCCAGCACACTTTCCTTCGGTGCCCAAGTTGCAGCCTGTCATCACGGCATGGATGTGTCCAAGCGCTGGCTCTTCTTGTCCAACAGGCCGGGCATACTCGACCTCGCGTCTGAGTGCCATCACGGATCACAGGCGCACAAGGCTGTGTGGGGGATTCGAGCAGATGATGGAAGTTTCCTTAGCCGAATGACGGCTGCGTACCCGGAATCGCTGGCGGCCGCTTTGGCTGCGCTTCTGGGAAGGTACACTTCGTCTCAGGGCCGGCTGCTTCCATGTGCAGAGCGGCGCTCTGTTCTCCCCCTGGACCCGTTTTGGCCTCAGCTGGGTCGCCGCATTGAGGATGGGGCAGGTGTCAATAGTACAGCGTGCTGGATTACTCCCCAAGCCGATGACCACCTTGCAGGCCTTCGCAAGAAGTGGACGCAGCGTCTGGTCGGCGGTCGTCTCTGTCTCCGCATCTGTTCCACGTTGCGAGCTGGTACCGATTGTCCACCAATCAGCGCGGAGGAGCTTCAGCCCTTTCTCGATGACCTGTGTTGCTTTTGTGAGGTCCCTGCAACAGAGGTCGAGAATTTTCTGTCGATTCAACCGGGACAGCCTTTCCGCTTGAACGTCCTGGAGAAACTGCTGGCTGTTACTAAAGACCCTGAATCGGATCTATGCCGGCATCTCCGGAAAGGTGTGCGCATTGGTGTGGACCACGAACTGCAGCCCTCGCCTCATTGGCCACTTCGCACTGCAGATCCGATTGTGTCGGACCTCGTGATTTGCGAAGGTTCTTGGAAAAGTGCCTCCGACCACCCGGATCAGGTCCGGGAGCTCCTGGCCCAGGAAATCGCTGAAGGCTGGATAGTGGAGAGACCTTCGGTTCAATACCTGCATGATCACTTCCCGGCGGTGGCTATCGGCAAACTTGGACTGGTTCTGGCTGAAGGCAGGTCGCCTCGACTCACGGTCGACAGCTCGGTTAGTGGTGTCACGGCCGCTTGTCAGATTCCAAATCACATGCTGCTGCCACGCATATCCGACGTTGAGGATTGCGCTCCCTCCTGCCTAGGCCGCCAACCTTGGATCACGGTTTCTTTGGATGTGCGCAAGGCTCACCGCATGGTCATGGTGGAACACTGTGACCAGGCTTTGCTGGCCTTCACCTTCGAGGGACGCGTCTTTACGTCCAGCACCCTTAATTTCGGGGCCAGAGCATCCGCTTTTTGGTGGGCCAGAGTTGGTGGAGCCCTGATTCGTCTGTCGCACGCAGCGATCTGGCTTTCACATCTGCTTTGGGGCTACGTGGACGATTTTTTGGGAGGTTTTCGCGGCGATGTGGCTCCGATCTCTGCCTCCATTTGGATTCTCTTGCTCTTAGCACTGGGAGTACCACTTTCTTGGCCAAAGTGTGTCTGGTCGTCGGAGTGCATTTGGATTGGATGGTCCATCAATCTTGAAAGCTGGGTTTGCGAGCTCCCGTCTGCGAAAATTTCCAAAATTCTTGATCAAATCGCTGAGCTACTTTCTGCTGGGGACAAGGTCAAGTTCAAAACTTTGGAATCACTCATTGGACGCCTCTTGTGGGTTACAGGCTTGTGGACGGTGCTTCGGCCTCTGCTGTCCCCATTATATGCAGCTCTGCAGCGCTTACCAGCTTCTTCGGTTGGTGTCAGCCCTGAGCTGTGGGCTGCGATCAAGCGCAACATTGCGGAGGATTGTGTGCTGATCCGCTCGGTTGGGCATCCGTCCTTCCATAAAGGTGCTTGCATCACTCGTGCGGCCAATACTTTTGTGTCTTGCAAGCAGGATCTTGATCAGGTGCCATTCAGGAAGCGCCGATTGTGGGTCGAGGTTAAGGATCCTGGGCATCCGCTGCGAGTACTCGGGGATGTCGGCAGGTCAAGCTTAATTGCGTGGCGTGCCATCTTCCAGGGAACCCCAAACTTGAAGGCGCTTCGCAGCCCACTCCCGCTGAAGGTCATCGCGGAGGCGGATGCCTTTGCCGATGCGGAGGTGTCTGGATTAGGAGGCTACGCCATGTGGCCCAGTGGTCGCACTGTCTGGTTTTCCATTAGAAAAGACAGTCAGGAGTGGGCTGCTCTCACTTCGTGGTTCCCTCCGCCCCTCCAGGCGCATATTTCGGCGTTGGAACTCCTGGCTCAATTACTGCTGCTTTGGTGTGTCTTCGCCACTCTGCCTTCCAATCGGGGACTATGTCGGGCTTGCCTTCGTTCGGACAACTCCGGTGCAGAGGCAAGGGCCTTTCCTCGGTGCTGTCCATGAGCGAGATTGTCAAGACGTTCCTTGCTTTTCAGGCGTGGTCTGGTGTACAAGCTGAGGTCGAGCATGTACCTGGGGATCGCAATGAACTTGCGGATGCGCTCAGCAGGCTTACGCCGAAAGACATTGCACCATTGCCCCTGGGTGACCGGGTGCATCCGCCTTTGCAATGGCTTCTTGAGCAGCGGCTCTTTCTTGAACCCGCTTCGGCCTCGTGGCCGCCTCCCTTCAAGACTTGGATGAGTAGTCCCTGAGTGCGATGTTTATTATCACTTCCACTTGTTTGCAGGCTTGTGCGCCAGCGGCGAAAATACATCGCGGTACGCTTCTCTGTGTTGTCTGGAGCCTTATTGCAGAAAGCTGCTCTTTTGCCATGCCGTGCACGTGTGGGAGATGTGCGACCGGATGATCTTCAGCACGCTTGCTGACGTCGATCATGCGTGCCGCCCCGGCCGTGTTGCTGGTTGCCGGCTCCTTCTTGCACTCTGATGCGGACTTTGAGCTTCGGCTTGACGGAGTCCGTCCTTAAATCTGTGATGTATGACTGCTGCCGGCCTCGCTTGCCTTCCGCAGTCTTTTGCTTCAGTATCCAGGGTCTTCTTGCATGGCACTAACATGTCGGGCCACTCGGAGGAATCTTCTTCCCGTCTGTCCGGCGCTGCTCCAGAGTCGTCTCCATTTTCGGGGCCGGTTCTACGGGAAGCTGATCTTGGAGCGTTGGGGGCCTGTCCCCCGCCGTGTCTCCAGTGTGATCTCCTTCGTGCGGAGGTGCTGATGCTACGTGCTGAAGTTGCGAGCCTGCGCAATTCCAGCTTGGCTGCACTCTGGGATGCGATCTATGCCTTGCAGGGCCAGCTCAACGAGGTTCGCCCACGTGGCGAGGATGACCATTTTTCATTCGTGTTTACGGCGGTCGAAGAGAACACCGCAGCTCGTTGCAGTCCTGCAAGCCGAGCGCTTCTTTTGAGAGCGGAATGTAATGCTATCAAATTGATGGATGCTGTAAAGTGGTTCCCGGCAATCAAGCAAGGAGCCGTGTAATTCGCGAAAACCACGAAGATCTAGGAGAAGATAGCTGCAGATGTCTTTGGAGCATTTGCAAAACAAGCCTGAAGCACCATGAATTTCTATCTGGTTACTACGGCTTGGGTGTAGTGGCTGGCTGACAGCAATGTCAGTCAAAAACACTCTGAAGTGTTGCAGGCGAGTCACATGTTCGAAGTTGGCATCAACGGTCTTGCGGGTCTTGACAAGTGGCCGGATGGGTGAAGATGTCGGAATTCCGCAGGCATGACGAAGCGCGATGACGCCATTTTCCCAGCGTAGTTTGCTCCCTGTGCGTAATTGCAAAGGACAAAAGGAGGCCGCAAGGCGACTGGTCACTGTCGCGAAAGGCTTCGAGAACCGAAAGATGCGGGTAAGCTTGAGGACGATCGACCAGGCGCCGGACCAGACTAGCAGCGACACTAAGCGCTGGGTAGAGTTCGACAGTGGACAAGAAGGCTGTAACTTACGTGCAGCCCTGGCAGTCTGGCTACTAGGATCCAAATGCATCACCATGTATTACCCAGAACGACTCTATCTGTGGGCAGCCACACGGTGACAAGTCGGCATGAAGATCGCTGTCGGAACTTCGCGGATGCGCGCCCATGATGGCTACATCCTTCGCATGAGGAGCAGTGGGAGCTGCCCTCTTTCTGTCGAACGGTGGGGAGAACTACCTTTTACGCGCCTGCGGCTACCGCTGTCGGACTTGGCTCTGGGCTATGACTCTTGACCGGCTCTTGCCAGTGGGAAGCTGGGCGAGGTGGGCTCTGAACACAAGCTAGCTGCGGTACTCGAGCCGCGGGAATCACCCCTTCTTTGTGGACAAGGTATTGTGTTCCTGCGCCTGACACCACCCTGCGGGATTGGTATACGACCTAGTACGCTGCGGGCATGAGGCTGGGCAAAGGCGGCGTGTAACCGTGTTGGTGGGCCTACTTCTTTGCTCTGCCAATCCTGCAGGCAACATAACTTGAAGCCAGGACCCTCATAAGGGTTTGTGGTGTCAAAGAGGGGGTGGAAGAACGTAGATTCCTGTGGTCTGCCCAGCCTGCCTGTCCATGTTCGCTCAGCTCCCCGCAGGTGGAGTTGAGCTCTATGATGGCCGTCTGCTTTGTCAAAGACAACAACCAAAAGGGCTGTGGCTTCCTCCAAGGACGGAAATGACCGCAGGTGCCACAGGCTGTGAAAAGACTGCACTGTGGCCTGATCGTCTCGGATGTCCTGAACCCAGTTAGAGGGGAGCCCTTTACGTTCACTAGCGTCCGACCAACGCAGCAACGAGCCCTCAAGCCTCGCGTGCACACGCGCAGCCGCAAGGAGGCCGCCTCGTTCTTTCAAAAGTTCAACAGAGGGAACTGGTTTTTTCTTGGCGTGAGCTGAAGCCGGTGGCGCAATGGCGAACATAATGAATTGGACCTGCTGCCTGTGAGCTTGAACCCTCATACAAGCATTGTTTGCGGGCTACACTCATAATTCGAAGTCAGATCTCAGAATCATTCGCACACTGTTCATCCAATCGTAAGATCCAAAAGAGGCGCAAACCCATGGAAGCGACTCTCTCTGCCAAGACTGTGCTAGTGTTCCACAGCCGCGCTCCCCACATTCCGTAAATTCGCCCGCACGATCCACCATACACAGATTGACAGCTCCGACCCCGCGCAAGCTGTGACGGAATAGAGGTCGATGAACGGTCCAAGCTCTGCATGTCGGCGGCTGAGAACTGGAAGACCTCTGTGGCCTGCGCAGTCGTACGGATGTCTTCCGGCCGGGGTAGTTCAGGGTCCAGTTCTCTGTCTCCATCCAGAGTTTGCCCTGCTGCTGGTTGTTGGGCTGTAGTTGCTCATTCTGGTCTGTTAGCCCTGCGTTGCTCAGACCCACGAATGTCTGGAAATTGTGTAGCAACCGATTGGAGGGGTTGACCAGCACAAGCCGTTGACTCCCCTGTGCACGTATACGGTGTCCTTGTGTGATGTAGAGGTGGGTAAGGACGATCAGCAAAAGGTTGCGCAGGTCCTCGACGTGCCAGGTCCGGTGTATGGTCTCGGACTCCGGAATTTCCAGGAAGCGTAAGCCTGGCTGCCACTGCCCTCGAGGATCGCGGTTGGCCGCATCCCGAGCACTGCTGGGGGCCGCAATCCTACCGATGGTTGGGACCCCTGGATGCCGTCCCGTTGTCAGGCACCATTGCACCGCTTGCGGGTATCTCACCGCCGTTATCAGGAGGTAGACTCCGTTAGCAGGCGAGCCGAGCTGAGAAGACCTAGATTGAATGCCACTCCATTAAGCCTGGCCCCGGTCGCTGCAAGGCTAGCCATGTAGGCGAGAATCCCCCTAGGGCCCAGGTGCTCTGCTGGCGCGATAGCTGCAGCCCTATCGTCCTCGGCAAGGCCCCGGCAGGGGAAGCATAGCTGGCCGCCCACACTGTGCGGAGCTGCGTATGGGACGCGGCAGACACGATCTGCGAACTGCACATCACAGGCACCGTCCGAGGGGGTGTCCCTGAATAGGCAGCCCCGTACCTTCGGAGTAGGAGAGAGGAAAAGCCATCTCGCATATTCCTCTCGCAGCTCAACCGCAGGGTGGCTTGAGTCGTCGGACGGCTGGAGGCCAGTTTGCACCACATCCTGTAAGCTCTGAAACGCACCGACCCGCAGCGGGCCCTGTCGGGTAGCATTGACCAGTCTGCTTGTGGCCAATGCCACATGTAGCGGCTGGACTAACTGCAGCCCCGCTTGAGCGACTCCACGGATGCCAACGTGCTTTTGTAGGAGCCTGTCGATGGTGGCGATCTGAATTTCAGTGGCGCCACCGCCGGTGGGCTGCTTGGGATCCCCAGTACGGATAAGGAGAACATCATCTGCCGCCTCCGTAACGTTGACTGACGAGCTGCATCCTCTCGATGAAACACGAGGGGTCCGGCGAGCCGCAGCGCCGCAGAGCATGTCGCTGGAGCCGTCCGTGTTCCGGAAGGTGAAGGCCAGCTTAATCGATTCAGGATCAACAAAATCGCTCCCGCTTGTGATTGGTATACGACACACCCGCGACGTGCTTGGCGTAAAAGTGCTCAAGGACGACGGAAAGTACTGCACACTTTTGCGGCTCTGGATGTAGTTGGTGTTGCCCGTGGCCAGTTTGTAGTCTAATGAGGCCACCAATTCGTCACTGACGGCTTGCGTAACCTGCTCCATCACTCTTTACATACCTATGCAGCTTCCGGTTCGCTCGCCTGACGAAGGGCGTCGAAGGACGGCTGGGTTCCCAATGGTCCCCGGTCGCCGCGGGACTGGCGGCTGACGCGGGAGCGGTCGCTCCCGGAAGACATTGGGATCGGGATGTTGTTCAATCCGAAAGGGGTTTGGGCCTGGGGCTGCCGGCGCCGCGCGGGCGGGCCACGATGCGTTGCTGCGTTTGGGGCTGCGGCTCGCTCTCCGAGTCCGTGTCGATCCGGAAGACCTGGGGCTGGCTGCGCTGGGCCCGGCGCTGCTCCTGAGAATGAAGTAGTGGTCGATGGCGCCCGATTCCTGCGTGCCGTTCAACGTCGCAAGGTCCGTGGTTTGGCTCAGGCGTCCGAGTCCGTCCCACCTCCCGTCGCTGCAGCCTCCCTCGATGGCCCACGCGGTTCCGACCAGTGCCGCGCCTGCAGCGGCCACCGCCAATCCGCCGGTCGCAGCGCCCGCCGTGCCCGCGGCTGCGAGGGCTCCCTCGCCCAGGAGCGCAAGAGCTCCTCCACCCGCTTCCGCCGCAGTTGCTGCTTCGGCCCCTGCCGCCGCAGCCTCCGCTGCCGTGGCAAAGCCTTCCGCAGCTTCCGCCTCTGCCATCTGCTGCGACGCAAAAGCCTCGATGTCTTGGGCGGCGCTCCACCTCTCGGCTCTCTGGCCCGCTCGCTCGAGCAGGGGCCTGAGTAGCAACCGGCTGTGCCAAGTGGGCTGCCTCCAGCTCACCCAAAATGACGTGCG